TATATATATATATATGTATATATATATGTATATATATATATATATATATACACACACATATATATATATATATGGCACATATATATATATGGCACAATGCCTTGAACAGAATAAGTACTCAAGTTATAAATCTCTTCTTCAGCTTCAACACACACAGGAAAAAAAATCTCTTTTATAACATCATTAGCCAGTCAACAACACTTTCTCTTCAGGTCATCTCATCAGAGCACAAAATTTAATAGCAAGCTCTTTGCAGTTGTTCTCTCCTGCGTGCATCCGACCTACTGTGGATTACCGCATAGTGCCAACTATGGGATTTCCTTCAAAAGGTTCAGACACCTGAGGATGCTCCAACAGTAGGCTGTTGATAACAAAGGTTTTAATGTACTGTTTTGAATTAAATGAACTGTGGCTGTGAAGCAGTTCTGAACCAGGACCAGAATACTTCAAATCTAACCCTGGCTCTAATACTAGTTAGATAATTTACTTTGGGTAAGAGATAACCTTCTGTGCCTTGGGTCCCTGATGTACTAAAATGAACAATACAGATAGAACAGTCCCTAATAACCCAATATAGCAAGGCCACTCCCTCTTCCCAACTTAAGGGATGGACTAAGTAAGAACAGAATCTTCAAAGCTAGTTATATACCCTTTTTTTTTTTTTAATTTTTTTAATGTTTATTTATTTTTGAAAGGGGGGATGGGGCAGAGAAGGAGACACAGAATCCGAAGCAGGCTCCAGGCTCTGAGCTGGCAACACAGAGCCCAATGCAGGGCTTGAACTCACAGACTGTGAGATTATGACCTGAGCTGAAGTCGGACGCTCAACCGACTGAGCCACCCAGGTGCCCCCACATGCCCTTCCTTAACGGAGATACTGGATGTCAACCTTAGCCAGCAGCAAAGATGTGTATCAGACATCTCATGGCCAACTGCATGGCCAAGCTGCATAGATACTGCAGATGTCCTTTGGCACTAAAATACCTCGATTCTTTAAAATATTACTTTGGCCCTTTAATGATACATTCTTATAAATCCTAAAAACAAGTCTAAGAATTAATTTATTTCTCAGCTTCCAACCTGGATATTAATAACTCCCAATTTAAAATGAGAGGACTCGGGGTGCCTGGGTGGCTCAGTCAGTTAAGCCTCTGACTTCGGCTCAGGTCATGATCTCACAGTTTGTGAGTTTGAGCCCCACGTGGGGCTGTGTTGACAGCTCAGAGCCTGGAGCCTGCTTCAGATTCTATGTCTCCCTCTCTCTCTCTGCCCCTCCCCAGTTTGTTCTCTGTCTCTCTCTCTCAAAAAACAAATAAAGGAAGCCTGGGTGAGCATGATGGGTTGGCGTCCGACTTCAGCCAGGTCACGATCACCATGAGTCAGTGAGAGTTCCCGAGCCCGATCAGGCTCTGGAGAAGCGTGGCTGGGAGCCTGGAGCCTGTTCGATTCTATGTCTCCCTCTCTCTCTGCCCCTCCCCGTTCATGCTCTCTCATCCCAAATAAAAAAAAAAAAAAAAAAAAAAAAGTTGAAAAAAAAAAAAAAAAAATCAATAAAGAATCTTAAAAAAAAAGAGTGGACTCACCTAGAGAAAAATCACCAATACAGGTTTAGAATGGCAAACACTATCAAGATGATACTTTTACTGACCATCTTTCTTGTCAAAATGTTTATCAAACTTTACTATTCAGCTTTTTATTTTAATAAGCTTCAATTTTAAAAGGCTACTTCTGTAACTATATGAACTACATGAGGAGTTAAATGTTAGCTAAACTTACTGCAGTAATCATTTCATAATATATACATATAGCAAATCATTCTGTTGAACACCTTAAACATGAATATTACATAGCAATTATACCTCAATAAAACTGGAAAAAATACTAGTACCATCATAGGAAATGTGGTACCTTAAAATATGAAATACTCTACTCAATATTTTTGGGCTTAATATGCAATTTACCACCTTCCAAATGGCATCACAACTTTCTACATGGAATCACACAAAAAATAAAAATTTAAAACAAACAAGCTACTTGGTTAAGTACTAAACAAGACGGCTTCTTCTATGCCACGCTTGCCTCAATGAAAGTATACTTCCATGCCAAGAAAATCTAACAATTTTAGTTAATTCAACTGCACAGTAATACAGAAAATGTAGTTAATTGATAACTGCCTTTTAAATTAGAAGATACCCACATTTAGAAAAAGGTAACTTTTGAACACTTAGTATTATCAGCCAATGCTCAAGAGACTTATGTGCGTTATCTCATTTAGTCTTACAATGTAGGTGCTATTGTTAGCATACCTATTTTACAGAGGGGAAGTGGAACTTAGATTGTGTACCTTATTCTGCTAATAAATGATAAATCTATTCTTTGAACTCAGGGCTCAAGAAAGATCCTTAACTTCATTCCTGTTTGAGACAACTGTCTCTGGTTACAACAGAAGATCTTAACTAATTCAAAATCCCCAGAAAATTAAGGTTACATTATAGTACAAACTTCATAAACAGTGACTGAATTTCCCCTTTAGACTTCTCTTTAATATGACAAAATAATTCTAGACCCTGAGCTTTCCTAAACCTTTCATCATTTATGGTGCTCTCTGCTGTACCTACCCATTAGAACAATTTTTAAAAACATTAACAATGTACCAATTATTTTCAAAAGCCCAGAGATACTAATCAAGTGATCCTAATAGTCTTAAACACTACCCTTAAACCAAAAGATAAATGGAGATTGGGAAACTTGCATTCTAAAGTGCCACCATCTAGATAAAATTACTCTATAAATTAGAGTAATTTCAATCAGAGCCTATAAAATTGAACATTTTTCTCAAGACCAGAATTAGAGAGTAACTAGAAGATAGTTTAAGGGCCCAAACTCCACATGGCAATTCAACAGCAAAATGCAGGCAGTAGGGGCTAGGGACAGCAGCAACAGTTTAGAAAGGCAGTAATAAATAAAATTACAAAATGATTTACCTATTCATCTCGCTGGCCATTCTCCCTTAACACAAGATTGTAATTACTCTCAAAAATCACATGCTCCTTAAAACCTATTGTCTTTACTATATGGTATCCTAAGTTTCAAGCTAACACATTATATATTAAGAAAAACTCCAGTGGCATTTCATAAGCATTAGAAACCCACAGTTTTTTAGAGGATACTTGCATTTATGACTATAAACATCATTCCCCCCCAAAAAACCGATGTGGGTGTATACTTTATTAATTCCATAACTCATTAACCAATACTGAAAAAAAATTAGTCTCAAAAATACAAATGAACACTATATTTTAAGTGCCACATCAGCTATTCAGTAAAGTATCAGATGTATTTTTTTTAAATAATTAAACTATACTAGAGTGTATTTAATACCCTGCACTCAGCAACATAAACACAAAGTTATTAAATGGAGGAAGTGTAGGCAGGAGATTTTGCTTCAGTTGCATGACAGGAAGTACAAGTGATGGAAGTTTAGAAACAGGAATACCAAGTTCTGTTTTAGCACAGGAAAGGAAAACATGGTGGTAAATAAGGGTATAAGAGGAAGTTCTTCTTAGTGAACAATCTGTCATGTATCCAAAATCATACCAAAAGTTTAAAAAAAAAAAAAAAGAAAGGAAGGAAGGCCTTTTTCACTAGGCTTATGTGGTAAAGTACTTCGCTAAGTACACTGGAGCCTGGAGTTTGCAATTTCACTATAATAAGACTGCTTAGGGTCCACATTTTACACATCCAAAGGGACACAAGGGTGGCTTATAACATTAAACTGTTAGTTTCATATCTTAAAGTTTGATCATTAACATTTTCATAGCAATACATGATAAATCATTTTTATGTACATAAGTCACAATATGAATATACTTAACGCTACTGAACTGTATACTTAAAAAGCGTTAAGATGGTAGATTACAGGTTTTGGTTTTTTTTTTTTTTTTTAACCACACAGGCCGAAAGTGCACAAGTTAATGAGAAATTACTCAATTTATTTATAGTAACTTGTTATGTAAATTTCGATTACTCTGAAGTGAAATTCTTATTATACTTAATTTTTAGTAAAAGTTTGTTGTCGTTTTTAACAGCTAGATTCGTTTTATGTAATTAATTTTTAAAGATACTTCCATACACGAGCAAGTTCTTTAATTGTGAACTACAGTGAAAGTGAAGCACTATTCTCAATTAGCATCTTTCAAATCATCTGAATTACTTATTGCCATCAAATACTAGCTATGAAATTATAAGTGTGTTTCTACTTCAGCTGATTCCTTCATTCAGTGAAGTGCAAATCTCGAAATTAAGAGAGCAAGATCCCTAAATGAATAGGCTTTCTTAAGGCAGTTGCAATTTTGGATTGGGAAGTAGACAACACTTGCCACACCTCAGCCTTTAGCACGACTGTGGCCCAGAATGCTAAGGTCAATTCTCCGTTCTCGCCAGGCTCAGCCCTACCAAATTCGTCAGGCTTTTGTGAGCTGCCACTAGATTCTGTTCAGAAAAGTGTACAACCTAGATTACTTTGGTAGCTCAGGAAGGGCCTGGAATAACCAGCTTGGCCACCTCTGGAAAAAGTCTCCGGGAAAAGAAAACTGGGAAAACTTCAACTTTGCGCAAACCCCCTTTCAATCAATCATATGTAGCTCCCCTCCCGATGAAGTACGGCGTTCTCGAAAGATCTACACCTTTCCAACTCAAATGTCATTCCCAGATCAGCTGCTTGAGGGGCAAGCGGCGCTCAACCCACGCCCTCTTCTTCGAGCACCTTCTCCCAGGGCCAGTGCTGGGCTCAGCTCACTCCGCAGCCCCCTTCCAAACCCTACATGAAAAAGGGCCCTGGCCCAAGACCCCGCCCGTGGACAAGGCTGCCCGACCGAGTCAGCCCGGGGCTCCTGGCCGGGGCGGCTGTAGCCACCAGAGGGGGTTCGCTAGTGGGTTGGCTGGGGACGACCACGGAGGGCGGGAGGGGGTCTCCCTGGAAGCGGAAAAGACGGCCTCACCTTGACCCTGATTTCGTAGGTGGTGAAGCGGCCCCGGCCGACCCCCACCGTCTGCGGGTTGCTCACATCGATCTCGAGGAAGTTGCTGGGCGGCCCGTAGGCATCATTAAGGTTCTGGGGCTTGGTGATCAGCCGCCGGGTGTCCGCCACGGTCTCCGCCATTTCGCTGCTGCAGCCGCCGCCGCCGCGGACTCCCTCCGCCCCCTCCGAGTTCCACCGACGCCGCCGCTGCTGCCCGCCGCGGGGACACCGGGCTCGCGCACAGCGGTCGCGAAGCGAACGAGCACGTAGGACGGGCGTTCACCCAGCGCGCGAAGCCCCTCCCTGCGTCCTTTCGGCTTCCGCCTCCTATGCCCAGGGGAAAAACAGCTGACTCTCCGGGACGCCGCGACCTGGGCTCGGAAAGCCCAGCTGAGGCCGCGGAGGGGGACTGCAGGCTAGACGGCGGAGGGGCGGCGACAGTCACGGGACTTCTGGTTGCGACAGGTTCCGGCCAGACTACAGCGCCCATAATGCACCGGGAGGGCGCGTCGCCGCCTGGCTGCGGCAGAGGTGCTGCGGGACCTAGGGGCTCGGGGGTGGGCGCTTCCTGTCTTTCTGCAAGCAGCTTGGGCTTGGAGCGTTGGGAGGAACAACGGAAATGGTCTTCGCGGCCTTGCTGCGGGGACAAAAGTTAAACGGCGAGTTTTGGAGGGTGTGCCCGCATTCGAAACAAAACTCTGTCGCAGCCTACCAAACGTCTCACCGTGAACCACTGAAAATGCCTTTCTAGGCAACCATTAACAAGTGCCTCACGTCATGATTTTGATATCAACTTGACAGTTTGACCATACACGTGTATGGATTGATAAACGGAGGGAGATAAAGTAGTAGAGTGGAATACAGACAAAAGACCTTGGCAGATCACAGCACTAAGGTCACACCATTTGGGGACTGGTCGGCTGTCTAAAACAAAATACGTAATAAGTAGGCTGAAATCTGCCTTTCATGACCTATTTTGGGTGACCTGCAACTTTCTTCCCTCATTTCCCTAAAGTTCCAGTAAGTTCAAGACAAAACAAAAACGTATTTTTACAATATTTGAAATGAAACTCAGATAAGCCTTTATAAGAAATGAGAAAAAAAAAAAAGCTAAAACAAGTAGATGGTAGTTCATCTCTAGCAAATGCAGATTTGGAACATTGAGGTAGAAGGATAAAAATCTACCTAGAGAGTTGTCTCTGTTTATGTCATAGCTCTGCAATTGTATCTACATTTTTAAAAGTATGTTGAGTTTCAGAAACCTCATTCACTTTAAATAATTGGATCTGTCCCTTAAGTTGAAAAATTGCCCAGATCATTGGCAACCTAATGACACTAGGAGCAGTTGGAATAAAGAAATTACTTTAACATGATATAGACTATTATCCAGAAAACTCAACATTTGTTGATTCAACACTTGTTTGTTGAAGGTCTAGTAGGTGTTTTTCAGTTGTACATGCTAGAGAGCTAAGGGCAAATAAGACTGGAAATTCTCTAAATTCATCAAGTTTATAGTGTAGTATATGGTCTATCTTGGGGGGACATAATAAGTCAATAAGTCAAATAAATAATAAATTTGCCAATATGATTGGTGCTGTAAGGAAAGTAAAACTGCAAAAACAAAGAACAAAAAAAAAAAAAGGAAAATAAAACTGGGATAACGTAATAGAGAATGAGACAAGCTCATTAGACAGGGTGATCAGAAAAATCCTCTCCAAGAATATACCTCTTTCAGAGAGTAAAAGGAATAGCAGAATAAGTATGCTCAGACAGGACTCTGCTGGGCCTGTGTCCCGTTGCCAGAGACCAAATGGGAACTTGGCTTGTATTATTACAACAGTGAGTTCAAGAAATGAGTATAGATTGTGGGGGAGGAAAAAAATTTCCTTCTACCCTTTAAGATCTTCCAGCTGGTTTGAGAGTCAAACTGACATAAGACAGATTAACAGGAGAAAAACACCAAAATTTAATTACATGCTCATGGAGGCCCAATGAGAATGAAAATTGAGATCCAAAGAAATGACTAAGGCAGGCAATTTTTATACTTTTTAGACAAAAAGCCAATAAATCTGTGAAGAATTGACACAGAGCTTAATTAAAGCTTGGGAGCTTTAATTAGTAAGGAATTCTGAGCAGAATTTGGGCTAGGATGATAGATTAGTAAAAAGTACCAAGGTTTTTTCTATAGCATTCTAGGCTTTAAAGTCCCTATCTCTGGTAATAAGGCTTTTTTTTTTTTTTTTTTTTTTTTTTAACTTAGTGTGAAAAGGATACCTTTCATGTGGGAGATTTATTTCCTGCTTTCAGGGGGCAGAGAGAAGGGTCTGACTGTGCTTGCACCCACTGTTTCCCAAGTAACTTTTATGTAAAATAACATGCCAGGGGCACCTGGGTGGCTCAGTCGGTTAAGAGTCTGACTCTTGATTTCAGCTCAGGTAACCATCTCACTGTTCTTGAGTTCAACCCCCCATCGGCTTTCTGCTGTCAACAGAGACCTGCTTCGGATCCTCTGCTCCCCTCTCTCTACCCCTCCCCTGCTCATTCTCTCTCTTTCTCTCTCTTTCAAAACAAACTCTAAAAAAATTGAAAATAATATGCCAAAGTAGCATATTTTAGGATGGTGTGCTCTTGGCCCCTACAAGATGACACTTTGAATTAGAGTATATGAGAACTAAGAGATCAGGAACTGCTGCATTGTGCTGTCATCTGTGACACTTGAACAAAATATCCTGAGGTGTTCTCATAGAAAGCTCCTGTCTCATTCATTGAAGGCCACTCAGAGCAGTTTTGGACAGCAGCAACAGTTGCCTGCAGTGGGAAGCAGTCAGAGAGGATAGTAACCCAGCATTATAGCAGTCATACAGCTAAGAAGAGCTTCCTGATATAAACATTGGCAGGAAAATTGTTTTTCAGGAGATATGATTGTATTCCTAGAAAGACCCAAAAAGAATAAGCTGCTAGAATTAACAGGAGAATTTAGTGACTGAATGAAAGTAAAGACCCTATTTATAGTTTTTCTCTGTCCAGGCAATGTCTAGTCAGAATGAAGACTATATCTATTTTTAGTTATTAGAATTAGAAGAGGAATATCCATGGTGTATTGGTGAAGATCACATTAGAAAAAATAAATTATAGTGTGCCTGTATTACTATGGGGCCATGAGAGATAAAAATTGTGTCCCTTCAGTAGTCTATTAGGGTATATATAACACCACAGGATACACAATTTTGTATCTTATTTCACTTAACAATGTATCTTGAAGATAGTTCCATACTTGTACTGCAGCAAAGTATTCCATTACGCGGTGTGCCATAATTTAACTTGTCCCCTATTAATAAATATATATGGAGTCTCAACCTTTCATTATTACAGTATTGTGATGAATTGCCTTGAATATGCCATCATTACACACACATGGTATTATATTTATAGGATAAATTGCTGTGAATGGAATTACTGGGCCTAAAGGATATACAGGTATAGATACTTATCAGAGATATTGCAAAATTTCCTCTGTACAGGTTTAACCAGCTTACACCCTGTTCAGCAATGTACGAAGGTACCTCTTTGTCCATACCTTCACCAACATGAAGTGTTATAAAACTTTTTAATCTTCACTAATCTAAATGGTATTTTTATTTGCATATTCCTTATTCAACTGAGCACAGTTGAGCATCTCTTCATATGTTTATAAGCTATTCATATTTCCTTTTTTGGTGATGTACATGTTCAAATTCTTTGCCCATTTTTCCATTGACTTTCTTTTTTTAATGTTGGAGTTTATTAAATATTAAAAGGTAACCCTTTCGGGGCGCCTGGGTGGCGTAGTCAGTTAAGCGTCCGACTTCAGCCAGGTCATGATCTCGCGGTCCATTGGTTCGAGCCCCGCGTCGGGCTCTGGGCTGATGGCTCAGAGCCTGGAGCCTGTTTCTGATTCTGTGTCTCCCTCTCTCTCTGCCCCTCCCCCGTTTATGCTCTGTCTCTCTCTGTCCCAAAAATAAATAAAAAACATTGAAAAAAAAAATTTAAAGGTAACCCTTTCATGTGATATAAATTGCAAACATCTTCCTCAGTTTAACTTTTGACTCTGCCAATAACGGTTTTTACCGTGTACTCTGTATTTAACTTATGTAGTGGAATTTATCAATCTTTTATGGGCTTCTGAGTTTTGAAGCATGCTTAGAAAGTCCCCCTCATTTTATAAAAAAAAATTCGTTTTTTTCTAGAATATTTATAGTTTTTTTAAAATATATTTGATCTATCTAGTATTTCTTTTAGTATAAGTATGGATCTAAATTTCCCCCCATTTGACTACCTAGTTGTTCCTACACCATTTATTAAGCAATCTATTTTTTTAAAAAATCTATTATTTACTCAATGACTTGAGATGGTTTGGTTATTAATTTTTGTTAATGTTTATTTATTCTTGAGAGAGAATGCAAGGGGGAGAAGCAGAGAGAGAGGGAGACAGAAGATCCGAAGCAGGATCAATAGTCAGCACAGAGCCCAATGCGGGGCTTAAACTCATGACCTGAGCTGAAGTCAGATGCTTAACTGACTGAGCCACCCAGGTGCCTGGAGATGGTTGTATTATCACACTTAAAGTCACATGAAAATTATATTTCTCATTCATTCCTGTACCTGAGACTGTATCTGGTGTAATAAAAAATATATTAGTTTTTATCCCTGGATCCTAGCACTGAGTTCCTAAAACCTTTGGAATTTTCTGAGTGGTAGGAGTGTCTTTTGTTATTTCTAAGGAGCCCCTGTTGATCACACCTGAGTTTATGTTAATGAGGTGAGTCAGGGCAGGTCCCCTAGATGGCTTCAGGATGGGAGCTGGTCACCAGAAAGACCAAATACTTGAGGAGAGGATGGGAAATGTTAACCCCCTCCCCCACCCTCATCTCCTGGAAGGTGGCAGGCAGGAGAGGAAATAAAAATTCCACACATCCCTTCCCCAGACCTTGCCCTATGCATCTCTTCCATTTGGCTGTTCCTGAGCCAAATGGAAGAGACAAACCAGCAAGCATAAGGAAAGTGTTTTTCTGATATCTTTGAGTTGAATTATCAAACCTGAGAGGGAGGAGATTATGAGAACGCCCCAAATGTGTAGTTGACTGGGCAGAAGTGGATAGCTTTGGCACCCCGTTGGAATAGGCTGGTGTCTGAAGTGTTCAGGCAGTTTGTGTCAGAATGGATTTGAATTGTTGGACACTGAATTGGTTTGGAGAATCAAAGGCTTTGGAGATGATGTTACTCTGTTCTAGTTGCACATCAGACAGATCCTTCTCCTCTCAGAGGTTAACCTCTCTACTTCCACAGTCAAGGAGATCAGCATGTGGTTGCTCCTTAAACAGTCTAAGAGTTTGGAGTCTCTGGGAGGCTTATACTTTAGCTAAATACATCTTAACACTGATT